GCACTGTCCCTCAGCTCTTCAGCTCAAGGCTAGTGCTCTACCACTTGAGCCACAGCGCCACTTCTGGCTTTTTTCTTTTTGCTTATGTGGTGCTGAGGAATCGAACCCAGGGCCTCAGGCATGCAAGGCAAGCACTCTACCACTGAGCCACTTTCCCAGCCCGACACTTTCCATACATAATATCAATGGCTCTGAAGACAACAGAATAGTATGGAGGAAAGGATGGCACCATGTGGACTGAGCTATATTCTGCTGTACAATGACCATGATTGACACAAGCCTCCTAGTCACGGCCTTGCACTGGGTCTATTTTTTCCTCAGGTCACCTCTCTGAGGTGTGTCAATATCAAATGGGATTCAGTAAAATTCTGGACACTCACTGGGGACTCACACACTCCAGTGCTACTGATGGGTAAACTCTGGCCAACAGAATAGGGGTTACCACAAAGTTTGTTTTGTTTCTAGCAAAAGTCTATGGTTCCAAACTATTTCTAAAATGGATACACTTTTTTACAAATTGCTCTGCTTTTCTTGTTTCATCTGTAAAATTCTTTTTGAAAATCTCAACCCTCTTAAAGAGGAGGAAAGACAGTTTTTGTCCACATGGGGCAAGCTTTATGGTGCTAAGGATTCCAGGGCCTGGCAGGTCTTGCCAATCAGCACCACATCCGTCATCATGTAGAAGCCCAAAGGGGACTCTCACGAAAGATTTGAGGGGAGGACTACAGAGACAGCATCTACTGGAGCACCTCTCCCCTCGCTATTATGTATTTAGAACAGTCAGAGAATGTTACTAATGAAGCCATCCATGGATTTCCCCCAGCTTGAGAGAGAAAACAGATTCTGGTGTGCACCTAGCAGAGGTTGCTGGGGTATGTCCGGGGTAAGTGGACATTTGAGGAATAGAAAGAGGAGACAGGTTCTGAATAAAAGAATAAAATACTTCAGTATCTTCTGAAGTATAAGAACGTGGTGTTTACAAAAAATATATTTACAAAGTATTCATGAAACAGGTGATTGGGAGATACGCATTAGAGGAGGAGGAGGTGGAGGAATGCAGAGATCATCAAGAAGCAAAGTCCTTAGACAAGAAACTAACAAATCAGTGCTCTACAAGGAATAGCTTTTCATTTCAAAGGGTATTTCTTGCTAGGCAGATGGCTCAAGTGGTAGAATACCTGCCTAGCAAGTACAAGGCCCTGAGTTCAAAAGCCAACACTGCCAAAATAAAAATGTCTGTGGAAAGCCTACTAGTTTACACCAGCCAGAGTTATCTGAATTACCAACTAAAGGCTAGTTCAGGAAAGTACAGTTGTGGATTAAGTGGTAGAGCAACAGCCTTCAATGAAAAAGTCAAACCTTGCAAGTAAGAGCAAGAGGCTCTTAGGTCAACCCCTGTCCTGGCACCAAAACAAACAAACCAACCACAACAAACACACACACACACAAAAAACAATTCAGGGGCAGACGTTTTCCCCCTGGTTATTATTCCCTAGGTTGTACAGTATAATGATTGTATAGTATAATGACTTTTTGCATAGATTTACACTGCATTAAGTATTCTAAGTATTTAGAGATGATTTCAAGTACATAAGGAAGATGTGTATAGGTTCTATGTAAGCACAATGCTGTTTTATATAAGGGACCTGGAAACATCTGTGGATTTTGATGTTTTGATACCAAGAGACAACTTCACTCATTAGCTAGCGAGCCACAGTCAACCAGCCAAGAAGCAAGAGTACACCACGAAAGGCATGAAGATTTGATTCACTGTGTTTCAAAAAAAAATAATAAATCTGAAACTGCCTTTAGCCCAAGTGAATTTCTGAAGGTGATCTCTTATGCTTGTTTAAAAGCCCTGCTTCCTTTAGCTTTTTTTTTCTTCTGTTATTCCCATTAATCTGGTTTCTAATGGAATGAGTGAGTCTAAAACATATGGAGTATACCAGACACTCATCAAAAACATCATTTGTAAAATCATCTCTTTAAATCCCAACATTAGAAGGCTAAATGAGACTTGACAGCAAAATGCTCCTTGACAAGTGTGGGCACTTGGCAGGTGGCCAGCATCTGAATCAACACGGGAGAGAATCATGTTATCAGTTCAGCTTCTTAAGAAGGCGTTCCTCCCCAGCTCCAGTGCCCACATTCACACTGGCCTGTCTTAATAAACCCAAAAATGCAGGGAATTATAAAAACAGAGAACTGGGGGGAAAAATATGGCCTCTTACAAACCACACAAAATACAGATTTGCATGCTGCTCTCTATTCTGGCTGTCTAGTGATTCTGACCATTCTTCATATTTACCATTGGAGTGTTTACAGCTGGAAAAAAGGTGGTACCAGATGGCCGTGCCTTGACATGATCTGCCTACCAGCAGGACATTTGAGAGAAACCCAGAAAACTATCAGATTGCTAACATCTGAGGTAGAGAAAGGGTATTTGGAGTCAGTAGGGAATGTCATGGGGAGATGTAAAAAGAAAAATCTGTCTTATACTATAGATCCCTGAATATAAATGTTTCCTCAGATCTAAAATGTAAATGCTAGTCAAATTCAGCACAAATTTTAACTACAATTTAATCTGAGCTATTTTGAAATTTTACACCTTTTAGTACCTATGACTAAGCCTTTAAGAAATCAAGTTTGCCCCAGGAAAAACAAATGATCACCACATCCCTCCATTTGCTTCACCATAATGAATAATTCAATTAAAATAATGAAATATCATCAGATTTGTTTAAACCCTCTTGATGTGTAAGGTTCTGGGCTTGATCCTCCAACATTGGGAGATGGAGAAAGGTAGAAATGATACCTTCTATTTTATAAAGAAGTGGAACTAGAGCTATGGAGCACATGAAAAATGATTAATATTTTTAATATGTACAGAAATTATACAAGAAAAAGATTAGCACTATAAATAGAAAATGAAGAAAGAATTTCTTCATTTCTCTAAAAGAAATACAAATGACTGAAGATGGGGGAGGGGCTGGCCTAAGCAATAACTAGAGAAACTGAAATTAGAATATCAAGACTCATTTATGTTCTTGATAGAGAATGAAAAGTGAGAATAATATCCAGCAAGAGAGTGAACACAGGATGACAATAAATATAAAAGAAGCCAGGAGTAACACTGTTCAAAAGAAATGTACTCATTGCCAGATTTAGGTAACTGTAACCCCTCTGTACATCACCTTTACAATAAAAATAAATGCACATACTCAGCTGGGAACCAATGTCTCATGCCTGTAACCATAGCTACTCAGAAGGCTGAGGTACAGAACAGTGATTTAAAGTCAACCCAGGAAGAAAGTCTGGGAGACTCCATCTCCAATTAGCCAGCAAAAGACCAGGCTGAAGGCATGGCTCAGATAACAGAGCACCATCTGAGCAATTGTGAGACTCTGAGTTCAAACCTTAGTACCATGAAAAAGGAGAAAAAAAAAGTATGTATATTCTATGACCTGATAAATCTGCCTAGATATTTATCCTAAAAAGAAAATTAAGAGCCAGCTGCCAGTGGCTCATACCTATAATCAGGAGGCTGCAATCTGAAGCCAGCCCAGGACAAAAAAAAAAAGTCTGTGAGATTTGTATCTCCAATAAAGCACCAAAAAAAGGGAGAAGGGAAAATGTGGCTCAAGTGGTAGAACACTATCCTTGAGGAAAAAAAGCTCAGGACAGTGCCAGGACTAGCAACCGAAAAAAAGAACTGGAAGTAGAACTATGACTCAAGTGTTAGCGTACCACCCTTGAGAGAAAAAGTTAAGCAAAAGTCTCATGCCAGTACCAGTACCAGCACCAGTACACCACATACACAATATGATAGTACAGGCTGGGAAGGTGGCTCAGTGGTAGAGCGCTTGCCTTGCATGCATGAGGTCCTGGGTTCGATTCCTCAGCACCACATAAACAAAAAGAAAAAAAGCCAGAAGTGGCACTGTGGCTCAAGTGGTAGAGCGCTAGCCTTGAGCTGAAGAGCTGAGGGACAG